TTTATTTTCGATTTCTTTGTCCTGTGGAAGAATATATAACGCAATAAAAATTTATAAATTAATTAATTACTTTGTAAAATTCACAATAAAAATTTTAAAGGCGTCTTTAAGTCGTTATTATAGCAAAGCTCCTACTTAGTTAATTACCATATCGATAATGTAAAATAAAAAGAAAAGATTGTGTGCAAAGTCAATTATTACAAAAGATTCTCTGAAAAGACCGATAATGTAATATAATATTTCAAATTACTATATTTATATGAATATTTTAGATAATATAATATTTAGATGATTAAGGTGCATATTTTATCTCACACTAAATATATATATTTAATATATAAAGTGAAATGTGTAGAATTGTCTAAAATATTATTGGAATTCTTGAGAATGTAATAATTGGGTCCACAATCGGATATCTCATTTTCGTAAATTAGAGGTATATATTTATTATATACAGGGTGCGGCATTTATAGTGACGCGGGCATATTTTTCGGAAACGAAGTGAGATATCAAAAAATGTTTCAGACAAAAGTTGCATGGTTTCGAGGGGGCCACATGATAAAAATATGGATTTGACCTTAAGTGGTCTTTTCAAAGTGAGGTCAATGTGGTCGATGTTTTCTTAAATGGAACTCCCCATTTTTTATTAATAAAAACCCTGTATATATAACTTCTAGGTCATTAACTTTCTTCGTTGAGAATCTTTATGTTTTGTATATTATATATATATATATATATATATATATGTTTGTCCGTTTTTTTTTATACCGATTGCGTTATCTTGAATATAAAATCATATTTTTGACCCGCAGGAGAGAAAAGATGCTAACTACGTCAATTAGCAGCGCACATTTAAGCGGTGTACCGATATGATAATAAAACAATACATACTTGCCATAGTTGCATGTGATTAGATTACCAGTTTGCGAACGTGTCTTTGTTTTATTATCCCACTCGAGTATTGCTTAATATTTATTATATGGATATTTGTCTTTATTAACGTAAATTCTTAAATATCCGGAAGTGGAAATTGAGTTTGCGAAATTTCGCGAATCGCTTACCGCGCTTGGCTCTCAATTAACCCAATCTCCATTTTCAGGTATTCAATATCAGAGCCTTTGATTACAATATCAGTAAATTCTTAAGTTAACACAGTACTTATTAAAGTCAATAAAGAGAAATATTTCATTTCGATGAAAATTTCGAGAAGCTTTGTACTTTATTATAGTCTCGTTATCAAGAATCTCATGTGCGTTACTTATGTGCCTTAAAAAAAGCGAAATTTTTGAGTGAAATTATGTCTTTTATCATATAATCATATCTCAGTCTCGTTATCAAGAATCTCCTGTGCGTTACTTATGTGCCTTAAAAAAAGCGAAATTTTTGAGTGAAATTATGTCTTTTATCATATAATCATATCTCAGTCTCGTTATCAAGAATCTCCTGTGCGTTACTTATGTGCCTTAAAAAAAGCGAAATTTTTGAGTGAAATTATGTCTTTTATCATATAATCATATCTCAGATAAATCTGGCAAGTGAAATTATAGCCAGCATTATTAGTCTCGTACCGGAATGTGAATACGACAGACGATGTGACAGGATGAGCACAAAAGTCAAATCGAAAACGTATGACATATTTTTTATTTGTACGATTTATTAGGATATACTCTAGATGGATCTTCTAAGTGGATAACATAACACTATGACGATGCCGCATCGGTTTTCAATTAAACGAGTGCAGTTCTGTCGAGTGCGTTAAAGTGTTTGCTTCTCTATACCTTCCTTATTTACATTGTTTTATCTCCATTTGTTTAATCGATCTCGCATTAGGTCAGTTTACAGAATTGTAGTAACATATTGCGTGCACGATAGCGCGTGATCAAACGAAAGAATCTTTTTTTCTAACGAGGAAATAAATATGTACAATATGGAATCGCGTCGATTTTCTGGTGAAGAAAAACTTACAGAAAAATCTGTAGAAGATTTTCACTCAAACAGTGATACTCAAACAGTAGTATCGCAAAGATATCATCCTAACAGTGTTGAAAGCAAAAGCTTACTAACGTCGATAAATAAGCATGAAAATAATCATCCTGTTGCGTCTACGGTTGAAAGAGCAGAAGAACAAACTGAAAAATATAAGGACAATAAGACAGTATCAAATATCAACAAGACGACACAAAATCATTCAAAGGTAAATTTCTTTTTTTTTATTTGTATTTTTTTATTTTTTTTATTTTTGACGATTAATATATTTAGCGATAAATGTGTGCATGTATAATAAATATAACATCCCAAAAACTATATTTAGGATCTTACTTCCCCAAGACACTATTTTTTAATAGATACAAATTTTTACCATATGAACTTCTAGCATGACAAATTTATGGCTAAATTGACTAACATCTAAAATTCATCATCTAAAATTATTTCTTTTGTAATCTGAATAAATTTCATTAATCTTGCAAACATCAACGGAAACGTAGGAAGACGATATTCATATATGCAATGAAAAAACTCGTCAAATCATTAAGGAAGCAATCAAACCGATAGACAAAAAAATCGTTAGAAAAATCGAAAAGAAGGAAACGAACATTTTCTTTACTCGATACATTAATCTCTGTGAGTATAGTCGGTCCTTTAACGATCAGCTTTTGGAGAGGAGTATGGACATGGATGAATCTTCATACGCAATTGTGAGTAACAGAAGAAATAGGAAAATCAATCTTTCATAATTATTGCGATATGCGTAAGTAAATATGAAACTGAAATACTCTTCACAATATAATAAAACTAATAATCGTTATTATATAATAATTAGAGCTAGTCATTTTCAATTTCAATAATACCGTAAAATTATTAAAGATTGACGACTATGAATTATAGCGATATCATATTTTTTGATATACTATTATATATTTTTCTGTATATTTATATAATTCATATATTTTCTACGTCCGTGAATCTTTTTATCGGTTTCAATTTCAATTGACTATATTTTTTGCGTGCTATATATCTTACAAATCGCGGCCAATTTTCAATACTATTAATAATTAATAATATCCTCTTATCTTATCAAAATAATCAATGAACTTGAATGAACGGGGAATTAACGTGAATATTTCTTAATAACGTCCTCTAGATTGATTAGTGATATATTGAATAATTAATGACTTTTACGCATTTTGTTTAACGTGACATTAAAAGTGGTATATTGTACAATCAAAATATTATCGGCAAAATATTCTCGTGATAATACATGTGTGATTCGTCTTTTGACATCTGCTTTTAACATCGTTCCCTTGCATTGTGATTTGTTACACGCGTATACAAAAGGGTTGTCTGTCAACAGATTTCCCGGCTGGTTTTGTTTCACGTTCGGCACCGCGTTACATGTAATATTCGCAATTTTCAAGGATCGCTTTCACGATAATTATACAAACAAATGGGCTGAATTAAATTGGCGAAAGCGAATGCTTTATCGCGCGTTACGAATTCTGTACACTTACACTTTCGGAGTGGCATGCATCATGCATTGGCGGGGTGGTTGGATCATCATCGATAATTATCTATTTACGCACGTATGGTGAGTTGACATTCTCATTTTTTTTAATTCGACAATATTTTTTCATTCGCGTACGTTGAAGTGAAAAAAAGAGAGAGAAACGTTCGAAAAATCATATAGATCCATGGAAAGTTTTATCTTTGAATAAAGAAGCGTACATAAAAATATATGTCACATAATAGCAGACAATTTAATAATCGTTATCTTGTAATATCTCTATATAGGATAACAACGTCTTTGATGTGTTCACTGCTGACGTGCTTGGTGGTTCTACGTTGCATTCGGAACTTGTTAGCAACCCCATTTATAATCTTCATTGATATACCAAGTTGCGTTTTTCAATTTCCTACGAGATATAAAGTGGTGAGTTAAAAATTCAATAGATTCAATTTCTTGTCTACTCGATAAGAATACTTTTATATCTACAATGTTTTGTGATAACACACCCATAATTGCAAAAAAGCTATATGATTATGTATGATAACACATTTGTGTAATTAGAAAAGAGAGCGCGTTTTATACACAATCAAATCAGAGAGAGCGCGTAATTGTTTAAATTATTAATTTAAAGATTTGTATATATAAGCACATACAAAAATTGTTTGAGTTTCACAACACTAATATGCAACGATACATTAATACGCAAATAGAATATTAATCAAATATGTTGTAAATTTTATATAAGAAATTTTATTATCTATGTTCTTTCATTGGGGATCATAAAACTACTGTAATGATACGTAAGCTTTACGAGAACCAAAATTTTCTCGCATAGCGATCCAAGGGTGTAGTCGGCTTTTCTACCCATATTCTCTCATATAATTTTGTTGTCGCGATCTCTCTTATATCGTCTTTGACAATCGTATGCACTTCGTGATGGTCGTTTCTTTGATTACCGCCTGAAGAGCCGCTGAGAGAGAGACCCTGTGCTCAATTGCCAAATGGCGTTTAACGCGATTATACAATGCACGTGTCTAATTTAAAAGCTTGTAAATGGAACTATTACACATATAGCTTATTTTTTGTACATATGATCGTATTTTCTCAATTATCAAGGATTATGCCATCTATGATAGTGCATTTACGTATAAGCCTCCTTCGAAATAACACGAAATTGTTTCGCATAATATAATAAAAGTTATTGCGAAATTACTCGTTTGTTTTCTTCCGCGTATAATTTTATATAAGAAATTTTATTATCTATGTTCTTTCATTGGGGATCATAAAACTACTGTAATGATACGTAAGCTTTACGAGAACCAAAATTTTCTCGCATAGCGATCCAAGGGTGTAGTCGGCTTTTCTACCCATATTCTCTCATATAATTTTGTTGTCGCGATCTCTCTTATATCGTCTTTGACAATCGTATGCACTTCGTGATGGTCGTTTCTTTGATTACCGCCTGAAGAGCCGCTGAGAGAGAGACCCTGTGCTCAATTGCCAAATGGCGTTTAACGCGATTATACAATGCACGTGTCTAATTTAAAAGCTTGTAAATGGAACTATTACACATATAGCTTATTTTTTGTACATATGATCGTATTTTCTCAATTATCAAAGATTATGCCATCTATGATAGTGCATTTACGCAGCCTCCTTCGAAATAACACGAAAATGTTTCGCATAATATAATAAAAGTTATTGCGAAATTACTCGTTTGTTTTCTTCCGCGTATCATAAAACGAGGATTTTTCCTAAATATTATCAAGAATTATCTAGAATGAAACTGACTACGAGATTCATCGTTTCTAGCAAAGCGTTATCAATTTTCTTGTCTTAGATATCGTGAAAATCAAAATACATTTAATGATAGCGCAGTAATTCTCGATCTATCCTATACATGCGCTGTTTCATTTGAGATTAACTAGATAAAAATGTTTATGATGCATTATTCCTATAATTCTGTAAATTACCATCGTTAATATCTATATTATAGAAATTAATTATACAATTATATTGTATAATTTACATCATGTGCATAAACCAAATGTATTATAAAAATTGTTAATTGAAAATGTGTAAATTATACAAACGTATTGTAAAAAAATACGATACATATGATCGAGAGCTTTTGTTAATTTTGCAAATAGAAAGATCTCAGAACAAAGTCGCGATTGTGGTTTTCCTCAGAGGTTTACGAAATAATCACTGATTATTGTCCATCGATAATAGAAGCGAAATGGAAGATGGTGCTGTGATTGTACGGACGCGGATGAACGCATTTCTTATCTATAAAAGAAGCGTTATCCATTTTTGATCATATTTATCGAATCGCTGGTTATAACAATCCGCGTCATGTATGACATCGAGTTATTTTATGTGCGGAATAGACATGATTATCTTTTTCTTCCAATCAGAAATTCCCGATCACGAATTTTTATCTGTATCTATCATTACTAAATATAGCAACAAACTGTATATACAATGATTTTCATTATAATTTATAAACACAATTCCTTTTTATATATTACTAATATAGATAAACGCAAATATTATTCGGGTCCCGATATTCGAAAACTATTATATTAAAATCTATATTTATGTGCGCGACACGCATTACAAGTATGCGTTAAGAAACTTCAAAAATAATCTTAAATGCTACGCGTTCACATGGAGTGAAATATTTAATTTCATATCTTTCCCAACTATTCACGATGACAGTGAATTTTATGCCCTTGACAAGACTTGTCGGGGTGAATTAATGAACGAAGGTGAGAAGATGTTGTAACCCAAGCTTGATTGGAGCACAAAAAAGGAGTAGATTAGCGACGACTTTGGCTAAAGCGTCAATGGTTAAATGAGTATACGTCAATGGCTAAATGAGCACGAGACAGGAAACACTATTCAGAAAAAAATAGCGTCAAGGAGACTAGAAATTATGTCATTATGATAAAATTGTTTCTTTTTTTTTTCAGATAAATTAACCCGTAAGAAATCTGGTAATTTCGAATTAATTTGATTTAATTTCAAGAATCCTTTTTTAAAAACTTGGCATATATATTTATGTATTTTTACATTTTCTTTTCTATCTCAATCGCGTGGTAATCTATGCAATTTAACAGCGACGCGATACACAAGATGCAAAACATGATACGATACGTTATAACGAATGAGCGGGGACTTTGCCAATCCCTCAATTGACACGATCTTTGTTTTTATTTGTCTATTCGACTCTTCTAAGCCATTTTAAATATCTGAGTTGTGGAATAAATTACTGAGAGAATATTAAATACTTTAACGAAGGTGTAATACACGTGTTTCTTATCTTTCAAATTCCGCGTATCGCATCACGATGATACTTCTTCTTTGAGCTGCAACTTAAATAAGGTGACAAGCGGAAGCTTTCGGAGTTGTTGAAGATATCCTGCGCCACAGAATCGTCTTCGAATCGCATTACAACGGCGGGAACGCGTGTGGCTTTCATCGCTACCGATCATTCTGATCCGTGATAGCACTGCGATGAGAGGCGATTATAACGCATAAGAGGGGGAGGAGGAGATCAGAGAGAACGAGGGAGCAAAAGAGAGCGGTACCACGGGTACTCCGTGCCGGTGGTCCGCCGCGCGAGCGACGACGCTGCTCGCGATAATGCGATAGTGTTGGTCCGCACGTTTAGCGGCTAAGCACAGTTGATAAAAGATAGCAGTTGTACCGAAGACAAGTCAGTACTCACCCCGCTGCTGCCGATCGACGGATCTATTCGATTTCGTCGGTCCTGAGCGCATGAACGGGGGTTGGATCTGACAGCGCAGCTCCTTCGCATCGTCTCGATGAAGGTCCTTGTGTGTTGAAATTTAATATATTTTGTGCAGTTATATTTGCATAATTTAATCTGAGAAACACGAAAAAGTGTTTTTCATCGTGAATTCATCATTGGAAGAAACTTCGTTTTCAAGTATCGTTGGAGAAATTTACGTTTTTTTTTTCACGCAGAGCGCTGAAAGAGTTAGCTAAGAACGCAAAAGTGTACAAGATAAATATTTTTACCCCATCGAGAGCATACAATTGTGTGAGCATGAGTGTGTCACGATGACGATGACAGACTGATTTTGACAAATAAATCGAACTAAGATCAAGAGACGGACGTCGTCGAAGAATGCCAGGAAGAAAACGTCGAACGCATTTGAACACGTCGCCTCTCGTTTTTTAAAACTGATTACGCATTTTTTTTTCTTCTTAGTCTCTCTTTCTCACTTACATGATAGTTGATAATCTCGAAACAATGCAGAATGACCAGCGGTGCGACTACTAAATTCGATCCGGATTGGGTAAGAATGGTCGAATTGCGCGCGGCTAGTGCCGGGATGACCGGGGGCCTAGACAGCAGATCCTCGAATCGTCTGCACTACGCCATCCTGACGATTCTGGACACGATTTTCTCCGCGTTCATGATCGCGCCTGCGGTGGTCGGTTACTGGCGCGGTACCTGGGAGCTCAGCGACTTCTATGTCTATCCAAACGAGCCGGTGTTGAGCAGCTTCGCATCGATCGCGATCGGCTTCACCGGTATCTTCGTCTTCAACGTGCTGCAACACAATCTGGTCGACGTCCTCCATCCAGATAAACATCGACTATCCTATTATCTCGGCTCGCGGCTCTATACCAGCGTGTTCGGCCTATGTTGCGTGAACGCCTGGCGCGGCATCTTTAAGGCCCTGGACATCTACACGGAGCAGACACCCGGCACCATCGTCGCCACGACCGCCGTCAGTCTCCTCGCACTCGGCATCATGCGCGCGATCCGCAACGTGTCCGCGCCACCGTTTTCGCTCGTTCTCGACTCGTGTCCGGGTTACTTCGAAGTACAAACTATGTTCCGCGTCAACGTAAGTACCCATCTCTCTTCTCTTTCGGGGTGCACCGCAAGCCGGGTCGTCCAATGTAAGATTGCAATCACAATAACCTAATTATAAATAGATATTACGTATAGAAAATTGAATTAGGAAACAAGATTGCAAGATAACACGATGTTAATAAAAGAGGGAAATAAAAGAAAGAAAAAAGGAAAAAATTTTCAGAATAGCATTACAGATTATAGAAGCTGTATTTTTTATGGAAAAAAGTAAGACTCTTAGTTTTGACATATAGCTTCTAATGAGAGATGTGTGTATAATGTGCTTTAATAAGTGAAAACAAAAGTTTATCTCCACTTAAGAAAGCAATCTGTTTATAAAACTAATAGATAGAATCATTTAAAATTCATTAGTAGATAAAACTCATTTACCAAAATGAAAATGCTGAATGTCTATAGTACAACGTCGTAGAAATTATTCGAGATTCCTGCCCAATATTGTTCTGCATATCTTACAATATATAACACAAATATTTTTTTTTATATCGAATTTTTAATTACCGGAGAAGAGAAGTGTATCACCTCTTTTCTTGCTTCTCCTTTCATCTGAGAGTATAATCAAAAGCACCATCCGGAAGCTCGAAATTTATATTTTCTGAAAAAATAATATCCGTGAATAAAAAATATGTTTTCTATAGAAATATATATTTGTTCGTAATGCTTTTTTTAACATATGGCTATAAACGGAACGAACAATTAGAAAAGACAAAGTCACAAGGAAAATAAGATAAATTATGATAGAAATTTGCTAACGCGATAGTTATCTGCTGATTCTTCTTAATATAACAATAAGTGCTTGCTAATTCTTCTTAAGCTTAAATAATGTATTACATATAAACTGCATATAAAATACATACAAACAATATATAAATGTTTTTTTGCGTATTGACAGAAATTTGACAGCAAAAGAGGAATGTGAAAGAAAAGCGCGAAGAGTAAATATTCGGAGAAATAATTTGCGTTAGAAGCCAGAGCCACTTCGTGCATTACATTACACAAACATGATAATTTTCTCTCGATATATTATTGTCCCGCGATTGTGCTCACTAGTCGGTTCAATCATTGGGATAAAACGCGTCGTAAATCATAAATCGGATCCACGGATCGCATGTGCCTCGTCGCGTCCAAGCTCGCGTTATCGGTGTGTATAAGCACAGTTTCCGGCTAAGTCCCCCGATCGTCAACCACTATTGCGCTTGTATAGTCTACGTGCGCATTAGCGCAGTATGTGCAAGTGCACTAATTTACGCGCCACATCTTGTCGTTTGCGATCGCGCCTTCTTCTCTATCTGCACAGAGAAGATTTGTCTTATCTAGACAATTCCTCGAGCAATAACGTTTTTCCGTCAATCTATATTAATTTATATTAATGTTATATAATGTTATATAATAAAAATATTAAAAATAATTAATTTATATAATAATTAAATAATTATATTAATTAACTACGATTATATAAATGTTGATTTTTATAAAAATTATATTGTGTGAATCGAGCATTCCTAGAAGATATCTTAATAAGATTGTTAGTCACATTAAAAATTAATTTTATATGATTTGTTTCTTTCTTTTATCATCAAGCTTATTATATTTGATGCATTTTATGAACAGCTAGACATTTTTCGTGCGCTGATAATATTTTTCTGTCAAAATATAATGAACATGTAGATAATTTTTACATGCATAATTAATATCGATTCCTATCTCGACACATATCACATACATGATACATTAATTTATATCTATTATCTTTCAAGAGTAGCGCGAAATAAAATTTTTATTAATCGAAATATAGAATAGATATCATGGAATCTCTCGCGCAATATATTTTGATATATTATTATTTAATATTTTCTTTTTTTACTATATCCGAAAGCCACATGTAACGTTAATATTACGATTGCAGAATACAAGGGACTGGTCATTGTACTTACTGGATTGTGCCTTTAGCGTCGGTGTTGTTGGCACGTTGGTTGTTTTCGTCTGGAGAGGTGTTTGGATCCTCTTCGATATTTATCTATTTCCGGAAAATCCCAAATATTCTGCCGTTGGCTCACTGGTAAGCACAATTTCCTTGAATTGATAGCAAAAACAAAATTATGAACATTCAAATGATCAATGATTTTAACTATTTTGCATTGCATATCCGAATATCACATATTACTTTCCCTTTTTTTCCAAATAAAAATAAATCAAAGTTTTCTATTTTACTTATCTTTATCAGAGTCCTGTGTCATCATACATTAATCATTATATTATTTACTTATTTATTTATTTTTAATAGAACCAAATCTGGTTGCTTCGCAAAAAAAAATTACAAGAGTGTCGAAAAACACCGTGTACGATAGCTGACGATAAGCGATACGAATGTAATAAAAAAAGAAGAAAAAGATAATGACAATAATATTAAAAATAGAAAAAGTGAAGAAAAGATAATAGCATAAAATGATAAAAATAACGATAATAATTAATAGTAGGAGAATGTAAATTATAAAATTAAAATACATAAATATCCCTACATTTAATAAACTTGCTTCATAATAACAAGAATCGTACCTTAAAGAAAATATACTGTCATAATTGGCCAATTAAAGCATCGATTCGAGATTCATAAGCGGAAAATTTTGGACGCACTATCTGATATCAGACGCGCAGATTAATCCGTAGACACTTTGCGCCACCGTCGCTAAACCTGAAACGATCCGTCAATATTAAGATGTGTATATCATGCGATAAAAAAATATAAAAATTCAGATAAAATAAATTTGATGATATCACATATATGTTCAATTCACTTGAGCAAAAAGGCGGTTAGTTAATCATTCTTTAAGCATCAATTATAATTGTGGACCGCAACTATATAGCCATGATTGCCGATACTCAAGCCGATCGTCGAAACACACAGATCATAAGTAATATTATTTTTTTAAATATATAGCATATCCGTTCGCGAAGATGATTACATGTGCATGAACTCCTGTTATCGTTCGACGATTACAATAAAGCAACGAGAAACTGTAAATTTTGCAGACATACGACGTACGTGCCTAGTGCCATGGCACTACACGCCGGTAGTTCGATTATATAATTGAATATTCGCCAATTGTATGATTGCCGAGGCACATGGCACAATTGTCGGTATATGCATATGAAATGTTTTACATTATCCCTGATTCGTCATTTGCCATGTCGTCGATGTTGACCGACACGATTTATACGATTTTCGAATACAGATCGCGTTTAAATTTTATATGCAGCGGAAACTATTTTAGCGATAGAAAAATAAATCTTTTGTTTCTTTTTTTTTGCTTCTTAGGATATAAGATATATTTAAAGGGAATAGAAATTTCTGCTCTCTAAAAATATTAAAATTTATAAGCTCTCTAAAAATATTAACAAAAAGATTGATTCTCCTGTTGAGGAGGATAAAATTCTTTTGCATCTTTATATCTTCTGTTGCAAAGATTTGCTAAAAATTTTGCAACATCGAGAAATATATAATACAAGAAATATATATTACAGGCTATCGGCTATTTTATAGTCGCCGTGACGTTTTGTCTGCAACCGCTGATGCGATACGTCTGTGCGCGTCTTCAGGGTCTGGTTCTCTTAGTAGTCGCGGACGCTTTTCTCCTTCTAAGCTTCCTGGGGACCGTGAATGTCTGGCGCGGCATATGGAATGCGCTCGATCTGTGGCTGTTGCCGGATAATCCGGAATTATCCTGCTGGATCACCCACATCGGCTGTTTCGTTTTTCTCGTCCTCCTTAATTGTAGCAACACCATTCTTGTACGTGGCGTTTACATCGATGCCGAGGAAGATGCAGGGAAGTGCGTCGTGTTTCCGTGTCATTATCTTCGATTATTCTTTAAGGTTTGTATACAATATTTTCTCGCTAGAACAAATATCGAAACGATTTAATTAATAATCTTTCTAATGTTGTCACTTATTTCGAATGCCAGATCGAACGCGAGAAGAAGCAAGCGAGACAGCAAAAGCTGCTGGTAGCTTCCCAAGATTTCGATGGCCGTACCGATGTAAATGAAAAGGACAGCGAGAATGGAACTCTCCTGCCAAATAATACCGCGGTGACGATTATACCCGCGAATGCGGATTCTCCTCTCACATAAATGATACGAGAAGTTGATCTGTCGTAGACGAGATAATTCGAACGGAGGAGGATGGTTTGCCGCGTACGAGTTCAATCGTGCGAAGAAGTGACTCGCATTTGCCGAATGTTTGTGCGAAACAGTGTTTCTTTCCAGATTGAACTTTCATCTCCTCACTTTGTGTGCCCATCCTCAAGACGTTCTCTCTTAAGGAAGCGCGATAATCCCTTTATCGTGATCCTAAACAGAACCGAGGAATCAAGAAGTAGTGAGTTATAAAGAAGATACCTTGACTAGTGATACGCGCAGAAAAAACGGTCGGAAGGCTGTGAAATGAACAATGTATTTGCAGTAAGACTCCGTATGACCATTATCAAGAGCAAATTTTGCAATGCAATATAGTAATATACGATGTGCAAATGCCATTGGAACGACGAAAATTAGAATCTTGAAAGTAGAATTAAATGCCGTGCATTTCATCTTCAAAGATCGTTCGTATAGTTAACTATACCCAAGGAAAAACTAATGTGCAATATATATATAATATATATATAAAGAAAAACTATTTATGTATTTATTTAAAAGTGTTGTGCATAAAGAGATTGATCCATATAGATACTTATTAAATAAATCAAGTATTAATGTTAATATCTATACGTGTCAACCACATATATTTGCTCACTTCTTCCAATCTAATTGTAATGGTCATTTAGCATTGCATATGCTCGATGCATGGATTAAAATGTTAATCATGATTTGAATTGAAAATTGATTGTAATTTAACATTACGCAGGCGAACAAAAAAAAATTGACTTGCCGTTTTATCTTCACGAAATCAGGTTTCTGCAGTGATAAGTATTGCTATAACGCGTTGCCGTCTTATTTTATAAATTCGCCATCAGTATTTGACTTAATTAGAAAAAAAATAATCGCGATCTCTCCTCGATAATTTCGCGCGGATTATCCAAACTTGTGCACGCGTACAGATTTATCATTGAGTTTAGCATCGAACGGGACCTTGAACGATGACGGTATAATAGATTGAACAGGATCATTATAAGTAGAACCCTCTCTCCCGTATCCTGTGGTATACCCCGTACTTTTTGCTCTTGTGCTCGCTTTCGGGCAATTACTACGTCATAGCGTACTAATAACTAATTAGCCGAGATAATGACGGGACAATAGGCGGCAGGCATGATGGATGGGAAGTGCTTAGTTCGACGATAAATGCTTGCTCCCCTGGCCTACATTTAATGTTTCCACAATGAACAACTCCCTTGTGCACGTCGACGAGAAAAGAGGAATTATTTTTCTACATGTATCGCGGAATTAGTCGCATCTTCATTCGGTTATTCATTCTTCTTTCGTTTCATTGCAACAGTCATTCCATTTATGCTATCTCTTGCAGATCAAGTATTTCTTATATAGTATGAGCTATCAATTTTGTCGATACTAAAAATACTTGTAAAGAAATATCCTCGCATAACATATATCTCTCTATTGAAGTTACGTATCAAATCAAGATAACGAAAAATCCTTTGGTCTCGCGTTCGAATAACGTAACTGGATCCTCGAAAGGATCATAGATTATCGATCGATTCTCAATCGATCACGATCAAATCAATGTCAACGTGGTGGGGTGATCTATTTGAGGAAACGCGGCGATGCATCGTGCAACAAGAATCAGTCAGCGAGGTGAGTCGTGGCGAAAGGTGAAACATCGTTATAAAAAGAAATAGAGACAGATAGCGAGTGTCTGACCGACGAGGCTGCAGCCTCGGGATATTCCGTATCTTTACTGTGCATTCAACTCTAATATTCGAAAATCTCATCATATTACACGAGACACAGAATTGCAGACGAACGCAAGATTCTGTTAAAGCTCGAACAGGATGGCGGCGGATGATCCCCTTTGCCGGGAACCATTGGTATCCGTCGAATTCGAGGTTTTTGGAAAAGTACAGGGTGAGTATCGAACGTTTACTTGAATCAGGATTGATGCCGCTTTTTTTCACTTGTTACACTAAATCATTTAAATCCCAGTTATCTGTCTGCAGACGCAACACGATTCTGTACAGTTATTTATGTGAATCATTTATCATTTTCACTCGTCGCGTGTTAAATTTTCTCATTTCCGGGAATTGTCCTGTAACATTAAGTTTCGTTAACATCTATTAAATATTAGCGAATCTATTTTTTTTTGCCTGTTCTTGTAATAAGGCATTTTACATATTCGCGTTCGATTGAAATATACTCTTGGCATTTGCACTTTAATAAGTACATCTCCGTTTTAGCATCTTACGAGTCTAATATATGTATATATGAGCGTAAACGCGCGATTATACGTATTTGTTTACATAAGCATTTGGCATCTCTTTATCCCGCGTCTAGCAGAGAATCTTAAAGTCTTTAACAATCCTTGCAGGCGTTTATTTTCCAAAGTACGTGAGGGACATATGTATGCAATTGGGAATTTGCGGTTGGGTGAAAAACAGTAAAACTGGCACAATCCTCGGGAAGATGCAAGGACCTCGGGCGTTCGTCGATCAGATGTGAGTCTTAAAATTGCATCTGTAAATAAATTCTAACAGTTTTAAAATTATTAGTTGGAACATATAAATGCGAGATAAATGTGCGGTGTGTATTTCTGCGGTTCCTCGACCGTCCTTGACTAACAATTGCCGCGTAACGAGTAACGAGGTATGTCGAAAACTGACTTTAATAACGATTTAATGAAATAATGACGGCGCATCACCTGTTTCCTTCGTCGACTTCGCTGCTACGTTATCATGCCCAAGTATTGTTAACGTTGAAAGATGCCTGAACACGGACTATCTTACACGAAGAATGATTTCAAGTCTTTCGAAAAATCCTGAAATAGAAGCTAATCGAACTAAATCTCAGTTCGCATAAACAAGTAATACATATATTTTAACAGGACAAAATAGAATGCATTTGCCCTTGGCAAAAGAGTCGTTAAAAAGAGATATATAAAATACTTGTTATTTAGAGATGTGAGCCAGATCTACTGAACCGTTTCTTCGATCGCGATCGAGAAAAAGAAGTTAATTAATCATGCGCCATTTCAACCGATTACACGAAGATTCCATCTCGATATCATCGTAACGTAAAAATATCTGAACTCGGTCTGATTAGAGTCGCTAATTATAATTTCGGAGCGTGAAGAGAGCACCGTGTGTGGCAAATGCATTCGTACCGATAGAACGCACACTCACTTGGTGAACGTTCGTTGTTTGGTAACGATGTCAACGATGCAATTGGCAACACGACAAGTGTATGACCTTCTTAAACTTGAAATCGAGCACTGTTCGCGGTTTTCAGCCAATTGTATCTGCAGAAAAATATATCTTTTATAAAAAAAATAATGTACAAATATATTCATAGTGTTAAAATATGTTCAGAAATATCAAATGATGTCGTTTATTCATTGCACTTTATATCATTAGAGAGCAAGACAGCGTTTATAATCGCTCCTTTAATGCAATGCAACTTTAAATAAATATTCAATTTTCAGGGCACAATGGTTAACGTCAGTGGGCAGTCCAGGTAGCGAGATACATCATTGCGAATTCACGAATTGGGAAACCATCACGAAGCAGCAATATCAAGGTTTCGTAATTCGTTTTTAAAAATATAACGCATAATTGATGTATAATACTTAAAGAGTATAACTAGAATGCAAGCAATTGATTTGCATATGGCAAACGAAGTATACTCAAAATTCCACTGACATTGAGAACAATTGTGCGACGATTTTATCGAGCATCCTTCAAAATACATTATTTTAATAGATTACTAGTTTATATATATGTTGGTAAGAAACGCGTAATATTTAATGTATTCCTAATATATAT